CCAAAACTGCTTTGTTCAGGGATCCTACATAATATTAAAGGAGAAAAAGAAATTAATTTTACTTCTAGTTAGAAATACTATCTAACCCTAACCAAATCCTTAATCTTAACATAACCCTAACCTAATCCCTGGTATTGTTACCACATAATATTTTTAAAATACTCTCACATTGTTGTTCAACATGAATCTGTAAAAAGTCCACTGTAACATTTCTTACATTGCTTCATTATAATGGATTTGCCTTTTTATATGTGAATATGTGTATCTCGTTGTGCAGTGATATTTTACTCTTCATCCCAGGAGCTTATTGTTTTTTTTTTCTAACAATATTATCTAATGAAAGACAATATTGTGTTGAGGGATCTCATGTTGTCACAAAGTATAGCTTAAATGGTACATTATGATTACTACCCAAATTGGTTTAGGCATTAGTTTAATATATATTACATGACTACCAGGACCTAAACTTTTTCAGCAAGCTACTTCATTTGTAGATAACTAATTATATTCCTCTCGGCTTGGTGCTATTAGTTGTCAGTAGTGGTAGCTTTAAAACGGAAGAGTGTGCAAGTGTTGTGTTTCAAACAGATTGCCTACCACAAGTTCACATGCAGATTGAATTTCCAGACCTCACAATGGCTTTTTGTAATTTGGCCACCCCATCATTTGAATGAGTCTCTGGCCTTTAACAAGACTTGAGCTGCAGGATCTTGTACAGTTCTCTTTAATGTTGGAAAGGTGAGCTGTTTGGTGGAGGGCAATTAGAAAACCTCCATAGGTCTTAGAGAAGAGGAAATCCTGCTCTACCTTCATTTAGGAGAGAGCCAATTAGTGGTTGACTAACACTGATTTAATTGGATGGACTCTCAGACTGCAGGTGTGATGCTATTGTTTTAAAGCACTCAGCTCCATAAAGAGAAAAACATTTAGTGATTGAGTGGGAAAAGGATATAGAGTTCATGTGTTGGAAAGTCCCTGTGGAACCCTCCTCCCTCTGTCAGCTTGTATGAATATAGTCTAGTGATGGTTTTGCATTGTTGCTTTTAATGGAAAGAGCAGTCTGGTGAGACAGTTGAAAAGATTTAAAGCCTCGCTTAGTCTTGTATGAATTTATGACATACTGTAAAATTAAATTATTCAGGGGATCTGAAAGAAAAAATGTGAGATTCTAAACAATTCACATGTCAACTTTTATGTGTTATCTGTTTAATAGTTTCTATGCTGCAATAAGGCTGAAACCAGGTACACGTTACCTCTGAAATTTTCCATCATACCTTTCCTACAGTCTGAAGTGTCCTTAATGAGATGCCAGAACACTCTCCTCCTAGATGACAACTCTCGTCCTCACTGAGAAGTGTTTGTTAGAGACTACCACCATGATTTGGGAGCTGAGAAATGGGCTGTCAGCAGTCTTGAACTTAACCCCATTAAGCGGTTTTGGGATTAGCTTGGCCCTGGGATTCTTTGCAGAGTACCAACCCAACCAAGATGGCTGATTTTCTAGGAAAGCTTGTTGAGGGAAAAGGTAAAAAAAACCAATCCACTGGACTTTGTTTCCAAGTTTGAAGACGTTTTGCTTTCCATCCAGGAAGCTTTTTCCAATTCAAAATGTCAGAAATAGCGTTACGTTAGAAGCTTTATAGAGTGGACCAAAAAGAAAGCCTTGTTTTGGCTTAGAAAACATGCAAATTGAACCGGACGAACGGGTTTGCACCTTAGGAATGGGCAGTCGTTTAGGTTCTTTCTTAGCCTGCAATACCTGATGCTGGTCTATAATCTGAAAGGGGGTCGTTATTTTATACTTGTTGAGGGAAGTGATGCTGTATCCCCGCAGTTTGTGACAAAGCTGGTGACCAGCATGAGGAGGTGCCAGACTCTTGTGTGGTTGTGTACAGCTTTCTCACACACTACAAGCCCCTGTTTATTGAATAAAAAAAAAAAGTTAAATTGCCAGCATTTCTTGCTTTCTATACTTAAGACGTCCAATCCATGTAACAAAACCAAACATTAGTCGATAGGAGAGGAAATTCTCTACGCTTGTCAAAAGGGACTTGGCCTTTAGTGTTAATAGTCTACATAACTCACTTTTGCTCAAGGTCTCACCAAGAGAGCGAGAGTATGTTGCCTGCTGGTACCTCTTATAGGTACCAGCAGGCAGTCTGGTATCATAGGGACCCAGTGACAAGTTGCTCTGATCCACCTGCAGCCATGGTAAGGTCCCTGCATTTTAGTGACCATTGGTCGATTCTGCTTGACAGACCATTCGTTTGGGAATCCATCTGAACCTGGACGTTTCCCTATCACCTTCAAAGGTTGCTCTCTGTCTACTGGCGGGGTGAAAGCACAAGTGCTCATCTGCCTCAAGTCAATTCTTAGCTATAGGTCTTGCTTTAAATTGCTGTCTGTTATAGATTAAAGTGGAAATGGTCGCTAGTAAACCACTGTTATTTTAATTCAGTCATAGAATGTAAAGCAGTTGTAGTGATAAGTTTTATGGCTTCAGGCCTATAATTTGCAGCACACTGTTTAAGTGCGACACATGTTTTATCGTTTCTGTTTTGTCAAACACTCAGATTTTCTATGCTCTAAATTAAGTAATCTTTTTTCCAGTACATGAATGTTGCACTAAGTTAAGGTGTTTTTGTCAGTGTGTTGTTTAAAAATGATAAGCAGATTCATTGATTATTGCTATCCTTTTTAACATTTCAGTGTGCTGGAAAATTTGAATGCCTCACTTAAAACTAATTTATGGACATGTGAGGGTTTGAATAAAATGCACCTTGTTAGGTTGAGTATACTTAGGAAACTTGAGGATACTATATTTTACAGATCAGAAAATAAAGGATAAAGGGATTGTTATATTTTAAATCTGTGGTTCCCAAAGTGGGTCGTTAGGGTTACGGCTCAGTTATTGGGGGGAAAATAAACTGGAAAGGTATATCACTAAAATAATAATAATTTAGAGGTGGATTTTTTGTCACTTAAATGAGATTGTATTTTATCTCTTTTAGTTTATTGCAATGCATAATTTCCTTCACTTAAATTTAATTTGGGGACGGGTTCAGAAAGAAAAGTTGTTGTACTCCATGTCCTATTTTGCTTTATGAGTCAGGACTTCATTTGACTTAACTTGCCATGATTGACATTGGCCATCGTGAAACTGTTGCATTGTGACTAAAACCCATAATATTGTATTGTATTTTGTTTTTAAGAAATACAAAAATTAAAATTGTAGCTGCTTGTGGTGCTCAGTCAGCCAGATTATGGCAACCACAAATGGACCTACAGGGAATTTGAGGCAATTGGATGCTCAGTTTATTCGAAAATGGTTCAGCAATTGTCTCTATTTTTGGTATAATTTTACAAAATATTTATTTTTACATTTGAAAAACATTTTTCTGTTGTTTTTGTTTTCAAAACCAAGGAGGAAAACCAAAGTAAATAGATCAAATGAATACACTTCACAGTATTTTCCTAGTGGGAATTGTGCAATAATAAAAAGTTTTTGTCATTCTTCTCTTTAAAGCTAAAACAAATCAAAGAAAATTACTTTATCTGCCCAATAAGTCATCCTGTTTGCTCTGGTAACCAGCCTGCAGACATATTACTCATAATTTACTAACTGCAGTTTTAATATAGCGCTGCTTAATTTGAAGGAATGTGTTTGGTAATTTGCCCTCCATGACTTTTCCCATTTTTCAGACAGTGTCATATGTTATTCTTTCTAACAAGGGAATGTTTAGGAGACTATTTAAAGCCAGCTGACAGCAGTGCCCAGCAGCATGAAGTGGAGGTGCAGGGTTACATTACATTACACATAATTTGGCCAAGCAAATATATGAAGAATATGATGGAGACAAGTTTTTCAGTTTAATACTAAACACATAACTTATTGTTGAAATAATAAATACTGGAGTTTGTATAGTGTAAAAATCTAGCACAATTATTCCATTACTTCTAGTTGATAAACAGTTTTTTTCTGCTACAGTTCACCTGAATAATAGATACTTTTACTTATTTCTAAATAAAAGTATATTTGTTTGCAAGTGACTAAATATGTTAAAGCTGCTAAACATTTCTTTTCTTTTGACACTCTGTGACAAAGCTGCAGTTCTTCCCCAGCTGCACCAGTTCATTCTGTGTGTCAGGAGCTGATTAATTGCTATGATAACTTGTTATTTTTCTTGAGAGGACAAGACTGTGGGCGATAGCAAGGAAGGGATTGTTCCTCTTGTTTCTGTAGCAGGCCTGCAGGAGCCAGAATTGGCTGTTATTTATGTGCATGGTCTTTGGTTTCTATAGATTTGTACTCATTGGCCTTTTCTGTCTGGCAAAAATACAAAATATGTATGCAGTTCCGCCTATGTAAAGATTTCTACCTGTTGGGCAAAAACCATAACTTTCCACTGGGAATGGGGAGCTATGGTCCTTTAATCATAACAGACTTTTTCTTTTCTTTTCTCCACTTTATTAAGTAAATTAATCTTAAAAAAAGGTAAAATGGGTGCTACAATGACACAAGGGTAAATTACTGACGCGTTGGTCCTCAATTCATCTGTCACTTGATGGCATTTAACTTTGCTGCTTGTCTTCTCTTCTTCCTCTGAACTCTATTTTCTGCCAGATGACTTTAAGATGGTTGCCTCAAAAAAAAGGCTATTTAAAATGAAGTAAAACATGTGTAGTTTCCAATTGTTAGTTTGTTTATAAGAAAGCTTCTACAATTATACAAAATTAAAAAGTGCAATTGTTCTTGTTGACAGTAGAAGAATATTTTAATTTTAAAATCTTGGCTTTGGAAGGTATTCAGTTGTTTCTTTTTTTCAGTAGATATTGAAAATTATTATGTCACTATGTATAGGACTAATTAGTCCTTAAATAATGAAGTTAATTGTATTCCTTTATGTTACTTATGTCCCAAAGTACTAAGAAGTGTATGCACCTTTTTGTACTTAGTTCATAATCAGTCTGTAATTGTATCATTTTCTTTCAATTTGCAGTTTCACTGGAAGTTCAGATCACACCTGTTCTTGGTGAGATCAGCCTTGGAGAGTCCAAATTCTTCATGTGTGATGGTAAGTCAGAGTTTCTGTTTGTTTCCATGTGAAAATTAACCATTTAAATAGGTAACAAACCTGTTTAGTATGCTTTGGTTTTGTTACTCAACATAGAATCCCTTATTTTACACATTCATTTTACCTTGGCTGTGTAGTTTTAAAGACTAAAGGGCTGTAGTGATCTGTGCTTTTTCTAAAAAAAAAAAAAAAAAAATCTGTTATCTTAAAGCACTTTGAAATCTGACACATGCCAAAAAATAAATTAAATAAAATGTCTATGAGAATATTGAGAAAGCACTGTTATGCTTTGTGTTAGAATGACCTACTCAACGTCTTGCCCCCCCAAAAATACATAACCTGATGTAGTAAAAGAAGTTAATCTATTTTTACTGATACTTTTTATTCAGTCTGACTGTGGTTGGGTGATTTGGCAAAGGGCAGACATACCCTGAAAAACATGCAGTTTGAATTACTGCACAGTCAAAAGTTATGGATAAACATGTAATAAAAAATACAAATAAAATACATTTAAAGTGTTGCTGAAATGTGATAAAAGGTGAAAGGGTTCAAGATTAAGAATAGTTTTGCAAGGCATTTTATTCGATTCTGCCATATAAACAAGTGATCTTGTCATTCAACTCCTTATTAAATTCGAGGTAAAATTTAGAAAGTACAATACACCTACATTCAGTATTTCATCTGCTGGCTGGCTTCTATTTCTCTGCTTACTGTAGGGGCGAGCCCTCTGCAGATGCCTGTTTGCTTAGCTTCTGCTCTGCTCTATGTGTTCTTAGTTGTAGGCGTTGCCAAACATTTGGACTGGTATGGCCCAAGCGGGGATCGGATAGACCCCAATAGACCAGACTTGACTGTAACCCGCAACGATGAGTCATCTTCCACCCTCACATTTTATAAAGCTAAGACTGATAGTGCCGGGATGTACAAGTGTGTCGCTACCAACGGAGACCAGCAAGCAGAGGCAACCATCACAGTAAAAATCTTCCGTAAGTTTTTTTTACCTCTTTCCCTCTGCTGCATGGCAGCCTTTAAAATTAATGAGTGATATGAACATGCAAGGACAAAAATCCTTGTTTGTGGAAGTCATGATATGCTATTGACTGCTGAAATGCAACACATTACTTTTTTATTTTCAAGGGTTTTTCATTAGTTCAGTAAAGTGTTGGAAGACCATTAAAGGGATGTTTAATGAACCTGTGTGTTGTGCGGTTCCACTGAGAAATGGGTTTTATTTTACTTGAATGCTTAACATCAACAAATGTCCATATGAATAAAACCAGTTTATAAACACAACTTTTTTCTGTCCTCTGGCTGCTTTAGATCTTCATTATAGATAACATATAGATGTAAAGCATTTACAGTAGGCAGTCTGGTATTTCATAATATAAAGACTGCAACTTCATAAATGCTTTTTTTGGCTTTTTTGCTGTCAGAGCAATATCGGATGTTTAGATTTTATTAAGAAAAATATAACTGATTGAAATTAAGTATAATCTAAGACTTGCTCCAATTTTTCACACTACTTTAGCACATGAATTAACATTTGCTAGTGTGAGGCAGGGCTTATGTTCAAGTTAAAGAACAGCACTAGGGGTAGCAAAATGCAGATAGAGCACACTGTTACACTTAAAAAATAAAAGGACATAAGTTAACTGAGCTTAGGTCTTGAACACCATCAAGAATCTGTCAAGTGTGACCATATTCTGCCTGAGTTAAAACGAGGAGCATTTGTAGTTTGTATGTTAACATCAATATATAATAATAGTAATACATATTATATTGACACATTCTTACAAAGCATCTCTAACCTTAAAGAAATTCCTCAAAAATGTCGTGATGTTACTTACAGTAGCAGCAATTAAAAATGGCCATTCCCATTCAAACGCCAGCCTAGTGGCAGCCCACTTCCCTGCAAATCCCAGCAAAATCCCGTCCAACTTCCAGCCATTGGAAATGACCCAGTCCTCCTGGGCGTGCATATTTTTTTACTCTGACCCCACCCTTTCACTGAATTACAGGGTCTGACCAGGAGATTGGGCTTCTCTTAATATCTGAATGTCCACAAATCATGACAGAATATTTTAGTACAAAGATTGATGTTCAAAAAGGAATTGTAGGGGACCAGCCAAGGGCCCATCAAGGGAATTTGGCAAATTTGGAATGGCTACCACTGTATAATCTTATTACAGTTTTGTTACATTGCTGTCACTGCATCTGCAATAGTGAACATAGGATTTTTTAAAGGCATTCCACAGTATTGGTCAGCAGGCTGTAAAGAAAATATGAAGGGACATAAATGTTGTGGTGTTTTGAAAAGGTAAAAGGCAGCAGAGCAAAAATCAGCTTAATGAGCTGTTGTTTTGTAATCCTTTGCTTATTTGATAAACTTAGATAATGAAAATAGATTTAGAATAAGGAATTGTCCATTTTACCCCTGTATCGTTTCATACCTGTTTGATTTTTGTTGTTTTGAAATCAAATTTTGGAGTTTAGCGGAGCCATATACAAGGCTATATGCTTTAATTTGGCTTATTAGGCAATTTTTTCTAGCTCACCAAAAAACTATAATAAGCAAAAATAAGAAGAAGAAGGAAAAAGCAATTTCTTCATGCCACTATTCAGCTTATACTTTATTGGAAGAAAATATGTTTTTTTTAATCGATTTTACTATGGCTTTTGACTCTATTATATTATGAAACATTTCATTCTTATTTTTATTTATTTTATTTTATTTTTTTATTCTTTCCACTCACATTAATTGTCGCTTTTAGATGAATAGTATAGAAGCGCTGAGTGTTTAAATGTGACATCGATGGCTGAATAAAAATGTCTCCAAATTTAGAGAATACTAAGCTACAGGAAACTATGAGTTCTTGAGTGCATAAGGGTATGAAAATAAGTTTATTGGTTCAAAATGGAGGTAAGAAGAGATGAAAAGGAAAAAAAATCATACAAATGCTGAATTTATTTGGAGCTAATCTTAATGAAATGTATCCAGATTGAAGTCTCAAAAGTTTATTGTTTTGTTTTTACTGCTTTGCTCTTATTCCATGAAGAATTCCCTATTGGTTTTTATTAAAAGTTTAAGATTAATTTTGTTTTACTTTTTCTCGTAGAAAGAATAACCTTCACAAATGCTCCATCTCCTCAAGAGTTTACTGAAGGAGACAATGCAAACATTGTCTGTGATGTCACCAGCTCACCTTCACCCACTGTTTTTTGGAAATATAAAGGAGCAAAAATACAGTTTGAAAAAGATGGTAAGTGTTTTTACTTCCTGTTGTTTTCTGTTGGGATCATTGGACTTTTAAATCATCAAGTACTTCGATTATCCATATGATGCTTGTAAAGCTGTCTCTGAAGTGAAACTCAAGTATGGAAAAATATTCTCATACAACCTATAAAAAATAATTTAGTATAATTAGGAAAATTTCCTTGCCTCATATAGAGCTGACAAACTATAATGGAAATGTTTTAAGGCACATACTGGCACCCAAAGAAATGCTACCTAATTATGTGTATGCTGATATGCCTGTGTTACAAAGTGGAAATTGCTTGTGCACTACCGCTCATGCCTTTCTTCTCCTGGGTTTATCTCTGCTTCAAAAGGAAAAATTTAATTTAATCTGGAATTTGAAAATAATATCCACTGTCTTACTCCTATTTGACACTGGCAGTTTAATAATGTTACTGTTGGTTTTGCTTACTGGAAAACAATAACACATGCTTGTGTGGGTTGCTAGAGCAGTTCCGATGACAGTTATGTGGATCATATTTCATTTGAAAGGGAAAATATTCATGCAGCTTTGGGGCATATTGCTATGCGCCTCAAGCTTGTAGTAGACATGTACGCATATGCTTACATGTAATATAAGTCATAATATCAATTGTTAATAATATCAATTGATATGAACTGTAAAGTTGTAGAGCTGTTGGTAGCACTNCAGTTCCGATGACAGTTATGTGGATCATATTTCATTTGAAAGGGAAAATATTCATGCAGCTTTGGGGCATATTGCTATGCGCCTCAAGCTTGTAGCACACACATACGCATATGCTTACATGTAATATAAGTCATAATATCAATTGTTAATAATATCAATTGATATGAACTGTAAAGTTGTAGAGCTGTTGGTAGCACTGGACATTTCAAACATCAGGCTTTAGCTGTACCTTGCAGAGGGTTGAGCAGCAATCATTATTGTAAGCCCTGTTTGAGCCTCTATAAGCTGCCTTTTTGTAACAACACTACAGGTGGGCAGCATACAAGAGGATTGAAAAACCTTTGAAAAGGGATATGTGTTCAGACAGTGTACATATACCAAATTCACAAGTAAACATGTTCTCCTGTAAGGCTTACATCACCGACTATAAATATCTGCACCACCTTAAAGATCATCACTTATGTAATAGCCCTAAATGATTCTGCCTCTTGCAAATGGACAGGAAGTAACATAAGAGATGCTTGATCTTCTTCAATTTTCACATAAATGCTTAAAAAGCAAAAGTAATAGTTGTTTGAAACATGCACTTAATTTCTAAACATTCATAAAATGGCTAATGTAGACTGGCTCCACAAAGCTTATGTGGCATTTATTTGAATCCATAAAATCTTAAAATTTAGTTCTGTACAAAACTTAAATTTACATATAAGCAATAACTGTAAGCAGTAAGAGTTTTCATACAGAAATATAATAAAATTCATGCAACTATGAGGAAAACCTCTGAGTTGACATTTGCAAACTTTCACTTACACGGTCCACATAGATGGAAGCTACAAAGATTGAGTGCTGGATTCAAATATATGATAAAAAATGTGTTCAGCAAAAAAAAAAAAAAGAATCATAAGGAATCACTGCGAGAGATTAAGAACTATACAGAATACCCCTGTATAGTTTTTAAGCCACTCCTGAATCGTCTTAACTGAGCAAAAGGAGAAAAACAAGTGAACTGCTGCCTGGTGGGGAAAATTCCTCTGTTCAGATTAAAATTTATACTTTCTTTATCACTTGGAAATTACGGAAATTAGCAACAGATTTTGCGAGAAGGTCCTATGTGAAATTTCCACTGTGACTGACAAATTTGTGAAGCCATGTCATTTGCTGCTGTTGGTCCACAGTGTTTTATCAAATTGCGAATCAGCACAACAATATCCGAGGAAATGTCATTTTTTTCTCAGCTAAAGAGCTTTATGGAGATGTTTACATTACCTTGTAGGATGTCACCTCGTAAGACTCTAACTAGTTTGATGATTAGGCTGTCAATATACTAAATCAGCTAATAGAATTAAACCTAATAAAATTATTTTTAAGATATGCCAAGAGCAAAATACTGTAAGAGACCTAATTCCAACAACGGGCAAGTAGTAAAGCCTGATCATCTCCATGCCACACCACACTGCTTCAGTAGTATACAGGAAGCCTAAACCAATAATTCAGTGCATATACTATCCAGCACAAGGACATACTATACTGTAGGCCATTTTTACTGTATCTATTTTTAAATAGGTCTTAGCAAATATTCAAATTTTAAGAGGCTGAATTGTAAGTTTTCATTACCTATACACCTTTATTTTATGCATTAACAGAAATCTACATTAAAATTTATATATATGTGTCTCTGTCTGCTTGTCTGTCTGTCTATCCAACTATTTACATCTTTCTATCTACATGTATATAAATGAGTCGTCCAATCTGCTTATTAATAATAAAAATAATTTATTCTTAGTATATATTTTGGTTTAATTACTATGTTTGTTGCCTCTTTGATTAAAAGGTTTAATTTACTATATTGTCTTTATTACTTGTTTATTATCCTTTTATTCACTTTACTATCATTTTATTAACTTTAAATAAGGAGGACTGAATGGATCTGGTTTTGGACTTTCACGTTTTTTTTAAAGCTCACATATTTGATATATGGTTAATATGCTCTAGAAAGGAAAGCTTTTTTTGGCATATGTGGCTGCTGTGCAATGATAGTTATACTTTAAACTTGTCAGAGTAACTCCCCAAATAATCAATTAATTAATCATCTGTTTTATTTCAGTTCGTTTCAAGGTACTGAGCAACAACCACCTTCAAATCCGTGGCATAAAGAAGACAGATGAGGGCTTGTACGTGTGTGAGGCTCGCCTCATGTCACGCGGCGAGATTGATATGCGTCCCATCAGCGTAGTGGTGAATGGTTAGCAACCTCTTCACATCATTTCCATTTCCTTTTTGCTACCTGCATGTTTTTGTGTGTCAGGTGTAACCCGATACACAAGAAGTCATAGATATAAAGGGGAATGACAGGGTTAGGTATCATTATAGACACAGTTGCCCACAGCAACTGCTTATCAAAGATATTCTATGCTAATGAAGCTTATTTCCAGCAATGTCTGAGAGACAAAACAACACTGGATTAGTGCTCTGAATGTGTAAGAGTGACTGATTCTGTCTCTCATTCTGCAAGTTGTTTTCCTTGCTTTTTTTTACATCTAAAACACTATTTACAAGCTTAGAGCTACATACATTATTACAAGACACTCCACACTTATGGATGTGATAAAAGCCTTAAAAATGTACCGATGTTTTGTTGCAGTATCATTATGTATCTCAGAAAAACTACATAAACTACTACATTGTGGATTTTTCCATATACTCTCATCTTAAGCTCAACCCTCTTGATTTTCAATAAAATAGAGCCTGTGATAGCCTTGGAATAATGTTGATTTTATGTTTGGTGAATTATTTCTTTGTTGTTTTGGCCACAGAGTTTTTCTATCAACAAGGAAGATAATATTTTCTGTTTTCTGGTAGAGTTCACCATGTTTTCATTTCAATGCCCTGTCAGCCAGGTTCATAGAGCCTTTAGGAAAAATCATTCCCAAAGCATCACAAGTCCTCCCCTCTGCCTAACAGCTGACATGATGCAATTTTGTGCAGGTTTACACTGAAACCAAACAATTATTTCAGCTTTCTAGCTTAAGTGCCTTAAACATTGACCGACTCCATTTGATTAAATTGATGCCACTTTAGCTTTTTTTTGCCAAAACCAGCTGACATTTTAATTGTATTAATATCAGTTCTCCTGGAAACCTTTCTGCAGTCCTCTAATAGGGAGCTTTGGAGATTGTTTAATTTCCCTTAACATCCTACTCACTGTGTCTGGTAGAAAGATAAATGTGGGTCCTCATCTAGCTCTGTTTGGCACATTTCCAATTGTTGAAAACTCTTATATTATTGCTCTCACTATAGATATGGCAAAGTTAAAGGGAAGCCCCTTTCGAGTAATTTCCAGACTTTTTAAATCACTTACATCTGCATTGCTTGAATTGCATGTTCTATTGTCTTTCTGATTTACCCTTTTCTGTATCTATTTAGTTATTAGTTTATAAATGCATCTAGCTTTATTTCTTTCTTTTTTCTGTTGTTTAACCATTTATAAATCTCTGTATGTATTAGTCCTCCCAACCATCAGAATATGGCAATCAGAGGTGAATGCCACGGCAGATGTTGCCCAGCCTGCCACTTTGACTTGTGCTGTTGACGGCTACCCAGAACCCATGGTGACCTGGATAAGGTAAATCTCTGAGATTTATGGAGAGCTGTATTCATTATTTCTCATTCCAGATATGAATATTGTATATGTCTTTTTAGAAAGCATAGAAATGCATCTAACACATACTTCTGCATCTAGGAATAGTGTTCCTAAATTTTACACAAAAAAACATCTCGTTAATCCATAATTATTCACCCTCTTGGTGGATTTTGATTTAAAATTTATTTAATTTCATCCTTTTTTTCTGTTTGGATTTATGTACATTTTCTTTAAATAGTTTAATGTGTTAGCTTCAAATTAAGCAGAAACTTGTTCCACAATTTTTATCAAGTAGCTTGTACACCTGAACAACTATAAGGCATTAAGCTAAACCCTTATATTTATTTTTGATATGCATTGATTGTCATAAAGAACAGTAAGGTAAATATAATTATACTTAAAATTCAGAGCAATAGCGTAATTTTGATGAGTTGATGTAAATCTAAATAATCCAAATTTGTGTTAAAACTTTAATACAAGTATAAAAAATGTCTTTGTATGTGAAGGACATTTGAGATCATGAATGATTTATTCATTTCAATACAATAGGAAACTTAATCACAGGGTATCAAAGGTAAACTGAAATCTAAGAAGCAGCATGTCAACAACAGCAACATTATCTGTGTATCTGAATGCAGCCATTGAAAAGCTTCCGCTTTGTTAAACTTTTTTTCCATTTGTCTTGTTTCCAAGAGAGCGGATGACTGCAGACTATTTAGATCTGGGGTCACAAAGTGAAGTCAGTCCAGAAAAATCCTGCACTTTCTGTGTTTTAGTGATAGTTTCACTTTATACTGGCGCTGGTAGAGAGGACCAGCATTCTATTAAAAACTTCAGTGAAGCACAAAACCAGCTTTCAAATACTGACAAATAGAAGGTCAGAAAACAACACCTCCTCTAGATTACAAGTATTTGTGACAAAGTACCGGTTCTGTAACATGACAAGATAAAGCAAAAAAAAAAAAAAAAAAACTAGCTTAAATTTAACAACTTTCATTTAATTAGCTTAAGAAACTGTACAGATTGCAAAGTAGGGAAAAATATTAAGATGAAGATTAAGTCAGGCTAAGATTAGGAGGCATAATCAAATAGAGGATGCAAAAGGGGAAGCTTATAATTGGCATATAACTTCATTTTTACGCATTTACTTTTTAGTTGTGCTCTGGCTTGTAGATGCTGACAGTTTTATTCCTTTCTATGTTAAAGTATGTACAGTAAAAGCACCGGGAAAAAAGATCACACGCAGCTGATAATGCATCAGAAACTTGCTAAAAAAATGATGAGGCTACATTTGCACATTAAACTAGAACACAAATGTCTAACACAGTATCCATCCCCGAAGAATGGTCTGATTTTGGAAGCTCATTGTTGCCACCGATTTAACAAAATGCTGCATGTTGTGATTTATTTAGCCTGGAGAAGGGAATCAGTTTTCTGAGCATCAGTGTGGAGACATAAACTGGTGCTACATCAAATGCTTATAATCACCCTGTGGTCTCCTGAGTCTCCCTGTAATTACCACTTTGGAGAATGTCTTAAAAGAAAAAAAAATCAGTTTCAAAATACCACATTTCTCCAAGCATTCAGACATGTTTATTTCAGCTCCAGTCCAGGTCTGCCCTGTTACTATGATATGCATGGGCATACTGTTCTCTCTGCAACTGTCATCAGACTATTCTGACCAATCATAAAGCTATTTCACTTTCTAGATATTAAAAGCAAATTTTTTATCATCCAATGCGAAATGTGAAACATGAATGGAAGATGATTAGAATATAAATAGCAGTTTAAGACTGACTTTTTTGGCTAAAACATAAAAAAATAATTTGCAGCTAAAGCTAGTTATACAATGCAACACAATCCTTCTTAGACAGTTATTATTATTTAGACCTGACAACGTAATCAGGTGTTTTATATTTAGAACTTGCAAAAGTCAAAACGACTCTAAATTGCTAATTTATTTGTTCATTAAAACATCCATGTCTTGTTGGTCTGCCTGTTGATTTCATGCTTTAGCAATCTGTTCAAGCCAGAAATTAACTGTATTGTTTCTTCTGCTTTCAAACCTGATTGTTCTTCCTCTTATATTGAAAATGATTACACTTAATAATTCTGAGGGAAAGGGTTAGGATTGAAGCCAGGTTAGGTTCTCTGAGGTGTTCAGTTTAAATTTACGGTATATAGAACATTTATCATAGAGTGATGTCATCATAAGGATCTGATATCGCTTTGTAATTCGTGCTTGCACTGATGAACCACAACTGCTGTATACACAAGGACAAGGAATAAAAAAGCAGCTCAAATCCTTAATAAAGTGCGAGAAATGTTTGTTTTCTCACCATCACATTCCCTTCCCCAGTGATCAACAGAGTGAGTCGTACCACAAATCAACACATAGCTTTTAAAAGGTGTAAGGTATTAATACTGAGTGCTGTAAACATTTTAATACAGAAGGGACACCCGTGCGTAATAGTATGTTATACACTCGGCTCTAATGAAAGACATTACAATCTGGAGAATTAGGAGGAAACAAATTGTCAGAGATCACCAATATTTTTGACCCATGAAAAAGACAGCAAGTGAGCCAATCAGACACCGCAAACCAGGCTTGTCTGGTGTCCTCCACATTCTAGATGTGTCTCTTTACCACACCTGAATCAAATTGCTGATTTACCTCATCAGCATGCAGGCAAGTTTTCCAGAATCTCAATGACCCTATTATTTGACTCAGGTGTGTTGAAGCAGATATACCTATAAGGTGCAAGACACCGAACCTAGAGGACCATAACTGAGGAAGCCTCCTGTAGAGCATTGCTCTTGAATCTATGTGCAGAAATCAGTCCAGACTAACCAGCCATACCCACTAGATCAGTGTGCACAACAATGTAGAGAAGAACTGAAGGGTGGCTTGAAGGACTCTACTAAAGGAATATGGACAACTCATGTTCCATTTTATATATAAGACTTGAGATACATTTGAAAATATAGTTCCATGAAAATGATTTATTTAAAAGGGTGAAAAATTAACACAGTTTCAGGGCACAGTTTATTTAAGATTTTAGTTCATTACAGCTGTTAACCACTCTGTGGTTCTTTGCAACTGGCTGTTAAACATCAACAATTACGAACTCTCTGCCTGAAGCAACTTTTAGGAGCAAATAATTCTTTGAATTTATCCAAAAATGATGAGATATTATACCCACATCCACACCAAAGCAAAATCCTGCCTGCAGTTTTTAATGACAGTGCTAATAAGGTCAGCTAATTTCAGACTTTGCTGAAATTAATAACACTTTTTATTTTTTCCCGCCACTACTCTGGCTACCAAACATATTTATTGGACTATCCACTTTATTTAACATCTATTTTTGCTATAGTTAAACTGCATTTTTATTTTTTGCAGGCTCACCTTTTAATTGCCCATGCTAACTTTGGAATAACATTATTCAACTGGCTCATTTATTTTCAAAATGACCTGCATGTGGTGCTTTGTATGGGACACGTGTGGCTGAATGTTCGGGTGTGGTGGGCCAGACTTAAAGTGGTTCCTTTAGCGCACAGCTGGGATTTATTAAAAAAAAAAAAAAAAAAAAATATATATATATATATATATATATATATATATAT